ACGATAAGCAGGAGGTATACATAGGTCAGTACCCAGGTCCCAGTGTCAGAGTGGAAAAATTGCAAAATCCCACCGAGACAGGAAAAGATAAGAGGCCTCTCACTTGAGGGGATTCACTCAGACCAGAAAGGAGAGGTGCAGTCAGAGTGCGGGCTGGCTCTAATACTACAGTGCTAGCAGCATTAGGCAAGTGTACATGGTTTCAATGATAGAAAACACAATTATCACCCCTAACAACTTCTGCTACCTTGTAAGCTAGGAGGGAAGATATAATTTCTCCTACCTAAACTTTCTCTCTCTCTCTCTCTCGCAACTTTTACTTTGGCTGAACATAAGAACTGCCATACTAGGTCAGACCAAAGATTCATCTAGCCCAGTATCCTGTCTTCCAACAGTGTTCAATGCCAGGTACCCCAGAGGGAATGAACAGAACAGGTAATCATGAAGTGATCCATCCCGTATCACCCATTCCCAGCTTCTGGCAAACAGAGGCTAGGGACACCATCCCTGTTCATCCTGGCTAATAGCCATTGATATATCCTCCATGAATTTATCTAGTTCTTTTTTGAACCCTGTTATAGTCTTGGCCTTCACAACATCTTCTGGCAAAGAGTTCCACACGTTGACTGTGCGTTGTGTGAAGAAATACTTCCTTGTGTTTGTTTTAAACCTGCTCCCTATTAATTTCATTTGGTGACCCCTAGTTCTTGTGTTATAAGTAAATAACACTTCGGTATTTACTTTCTCCATACCAGTCATGATTTTATAAGATCTCTATCACATCCCCTTAGTTGTCTCTTTTCCAAGCTGAAAAATCCTAGTCTTATTAATCTTTCCTCATATGGCAGCCGTTTCATACCCCTAATCATTTTTGTTGCCCTTTTCCGAACCTTTTCCAATTCCAATACATCTTTTTTGAGATGCGGCAACCACATCTGCACGCAGTATTCAAGATGTGGGCATATCATGGCTTTATACAGAGGCAATATAATATTTTCTGTCTATTATCTATCCCTTTCTTAATGACTCCCAACATACTGTTCGCTTTTTTTGACTGCTGCTGTACATTGAGTGGATGTTTTCAGAGAATTCTCCACAATGACTCCAAGATCTCTTTTTTGAGTGGTGACAGCTAATTTAGACCCCAACATTTTATATGTATGGTTGGGATTATGTTTTTCAATGTGCATTACTTTGCATTTATCAACACTGAATTTAATCTGCCATTTTATTGCGCAGTCACCCAGTTGTGAGAGACCCTTTTGTAGCTCTTCGCAGTCTGCCTGGGACTTAACGATCTTGAGTAGTTTTGTATCATCTTCAAATTTTGCCACCTCAATGTTTACCCCTTTTTCCAGATGATTTATGAATATGTTGAATAGGACTGGTCCCAGTATAGACCCTTGTGGGACACCACTATTTACCTCTCTCCACTCTGAAAACTGACCATTTATTCCCATCCCTTGTTTCCTATCTTTTAACCAGTTACCAATCCATGAGAGGATCTTCCCTCTTATCCCATGACAGCTTACTCTGCTTAAGAGCCTTTGGTGAGGGACCTTGTCCAAGGCTTTCTGAAAACCTAAGTACACTATATCCACTGGATCCTCCTTGTTCACATGCTTGTTTACCCCCTCAAAGAATTCTAGCAGATTAATGAGGCATGATTTTCCTTTACAAAAACCATGTTGATTCTTCCCCAACAAATTATGTTCATCTCTGTCTGACAATTTTGTTCTTTACTATAGTTTCAAACAATTCGCCTGGTACTGAAGTCAGGCTTACCAGCCTGTAATTGCCGGGATCACCTCTGGAGCCCTTTTTAAAAATTGGCGTCACATTAGCTATCCTCCAGTCATTTGGTGGGAGCATGACCTTTCAGGCACTGGTCAGCTCATTTTCCCTGGAAGGCACATGTGGTATACAAGGAGTACATATGCATAGACCTTGTCTAGACTAGGAGAAAAGGTGTACAGTTTATAAAATGGTACCTCCCCCAATATAGATAAGGCCAAAGGACTATAGAATCCTGAACAAATCACGTCCACGATGTCCAATTTCCACTAGCTAGCAAGACCGTTTTTAAAAACAGGCTCCACATAAGAGGTGCTACAGACAGCACTGCAGTGTTACATCCACGCTTTCTGTATATCCTGCATCCAAGGGTCACAAGCAGCTTTTTTTTTTTTAAGAGGCCAAACAACTCCAAATTTATATTCAGCTTTTTCTTACTTTCTTCACTCAGGGAAGTCCTGTTTTTGCTATTCAGAATCAACATGAAATTTGTGCTTTGAACTGTGGCAAAAGTGGGTAAAAGCAGGAATTGAAAGACAGAAAAACATCAGTCTTGAAAATACGTTTAATGTCTAATCTTATACAAAAGTGACAGCATTTTCAAAAAATATCAAATCCTGTTTTTATAGCTTTTCACTATCATACAGCAATATTTGTCTCATCTAAAGAAAATACAGCAGCAGGTGATAGTCTATACTTTAAAGATGTGATTGCTTATATTTCATATTGTAAACAAATGCAGTAGGCCAATCTCAAAGCACAAGTCAAAACAAACTTCTCAGCAATTTAACTTAAATGATGCATAGAAATGTACAAATTCCATTGCAAAAGCTTCAGGCCAGAAGTTGCTCACACTTGACATTACATGTGATAAAGTTACTACACAGCATATAGTGACAACTTGAGTTTTTACACAATACATTAACAGATAAACCCTATCACTGCTATGCAAGGACCCTTGCTCACAAAACAAAGGGGATATGAAACAGTTTTCTTGACTTCAAGAAATATGAATATACATTGAAAAAGTGTCCCATATGTATCTGAATTTTAGCCTAACCTTTCCAATAATAAATCCTGCCTATTCCAAGAAGAAACCAGACGACATTTATTTTACTTACTTTTGGAAAACCCCATTTAAAAATAATTTGATATGTTAACTTTATATTTTCTACATCTGGCCCCTTCCCCTGCAAACAGATCCAGACCAGTGCACGTTCAACCCACATTGTGACTATAGGATCAATTCATTTAAATAATTTATGTTTTCCTTAGATCAATTTACAGACTAAGGCCGCACATGTCGAATGCACTTGAGCAGAAGCAACAAAGCATGTTTGCTATAGTCACGTGTAGAAGTCGTATCAGTCTTGGAGAAATTTAAGTCAATTCAACAATGAATTTTTGAAGTCTACATTCTATGGGAATAGTATTCTACACTAAATTTATGAAATATCCGATTTAAAAATATTTCTTCTGGTTCTGATTTCCAGTGTTCATCGATACTATGATTTATGTTGAATATTAGGGACATCTTAATTTGTTGTGTTCAGTTCCACTATTGTCTTCCTAGTACAAAACATACCTACCTTGGCTATTTATTAGACCTCATGTCAATATGTGAGTGGCCACAGCTCCTTCACACACTGCACTATTCTGTAAAATTTATTTCAGGGTTCTTGCAACTGCCATAGAGACCATGGCTACGTATTCAACATCACTACCAGGCCAGTCAGTTTATTTTTAAAAGTCCACTACTCTGTGCATGCAGAAGTCCATAGTAAGGGAGGGAAGAGAAAGTTACCTTGATTTCACAGTTCCACTATGAAAAGGGATTTCCTAATGAGCCGATGTATTACTAATCCGTCAGTATTACTAATTCAGTTTTTTAATTCCACCACCAGAGGCTAAATTAAGATTTCCCAGGTTGAGATAAAATAACTTCTGCATGGTCACAGAAAGTCTAGGTAATCAAAGTACCATAATGAATTAAAAAAAGCCCAAGTCTCAGTGAAGAATGTGTCTTGGTAATGCAAAATTACCAGTATGATAATTCCATAAAGATTCTCAGTCAGGAGAATGAAATTGATAGCAGTGACCCTTCCGATGAAAGGCAGCTACACAGAATTCTAGTCATTCAATTAAAACCAAATCAGATCACGTCATTCAGCGAGGTACAACATACATCTAGGTATGAACAAAGGGACTACCCAATTACTATGTTCAATGGAGCTCTGACATAAGACTGGCTCATTTTCAAACTATGGCAGAAGGGAGATGGATTCTAAGGCTCTATCTAGGCGATAGGACTATGTGGAAGGCCAAAAGCAGCTTTTTGCCACTGGACTACTTTAATTTAAACTCAGGCTTAATTTCCAAGGATGCTGAATAAAAGTTCTGCAGAGTTTATACAGCTTGGCAGCAAAGCCAAGTTTCAGATGGATAGAACCCAAGTTAAGAGACAGGATTATCTCCCAGTGGGAATCAGTTTATCTTCATGTAGAGAACAAGCCAAACTTCTAGTCACCACTACTAATTTTGGACTGGCAAAATCATGCCCTCATTTCCATGCACAAACTTCACATTTGTGAATTTAAATTAACTGAACTGCACATCCAGCTACTTGATTTGCACATAAATGCCTGTTTGCGAATGTGAACAGGTGTGCATACAAGTTAGACTAAGTACTTTGGCCTATGACCGCTCCGCTGTAGTCCCAGAATCTGAGAGAAATTCTGCTTGAGTGTATATTTATATAAATGCTGAGAACACCTTCAAATTCACATGCTCCATTTCTCTTTAGTATGTTGAATTACTGTAGCATGTTTAAAATATTAAGAGATTTCACAAAGAAATCTCAAAATATGTTGTTTTTACTGATATCCTGGAATAACCAGAAAATAGACAAAATATGACTATCCATCCATTTAGTGACCCCCACAAGTCTGGTATCAAAACTTAAATATTAAATGTCAGTGAATGCTTAACTGTTTAGTAAGACTTTAGGCCTGATCCTGTAATCCTTAATAACTCACGTGGCAATTCCTTTTTTCCCCAAAGGAAGCTCTGCCTTGAGTAAGAACCACCAGACTTCAGCATATGAGCAAGTTAAAATTTATGCAGATTGCTCCTTCATACCTCAGAAGTACGTACAAGAGGCGAGTGCTCGTCACAATTCCAAAAGTTACTGAAACACATTTTTTTTAAAATCTCTGTAAATAGTGGATGAAGGTGGAAAGCTACAGTACTTTGTTGCCCAGCATGAATTCAACGGTAAGGCTGTAAAAATTAAAAAACGAAATTCAAGGTCAATTTATGGCTTTAGCAAGACAATACATCCTCAAATCAGCACTAAGCAAATGTCTCAATTAAAGGCAAAGAAATTTAAGTGTACAAGTCAATTGTTACTATAGTGGTTTGTTTTGTTTTTTACCCATAGTTCTACAATCTAAGGCTACGTCTACACTAGAGACCAACGGGAGAGAGCTCTCCAGTTAGCATAATTAAACCACCCCCAACGAGCAGCAGTAAGGCTTTATGTCAGTGGGAGAGCATCTCCCGCCAACATAGCACTGTCCACACCAGTGCTTATGTCAATGAAACTTGTGTCAGTCGGGGGGGGGGGGGTTTCCCCCCCACACCTGATTGACATAAGTTTTACCCACAAAAGTGCTAGAGTGAACATCGCCTTTGATTCTAGTCTCTATACAAATAATTCTTTCCATTCTCTCATTTAAGCAAGGGGTCCTAGCTGCATGTTCACGCTTAGAAAACAAATCAAAGTGATGCCTAAAATGGAAGTATTTTTGGCAGGCCAATAAGATACAACCCTAAAGACTATTGTCATACTTCTCAGACTTAATAGTATTTCAAATCTGAGTTAACTGCCTAAACTGAGCATTCCCATACTTTTTAACTCCACTAGGCAGCTAATTTCTCATTAAATTGTTGACTGGAAAAAATACAAAGCAGTTTTAACAGTCCATACCATTTTATTAAGTGGTCTTTCCACTGCCCAACATCAGCACTTGTGTGTGATGAATTTTGGAATTGTTCAACACAGTACAATTTAAATACTCACATGGTGACCACCAGGCATTGATGGAGTACCAGCAGGACCAGATGGCACTTGAAAAGGATTAGGGGGTGTAGGATATAGTCCTGGAGCTGGATATGATCCTGAGGGTGGAGGAAATGGACCAGGTGGTGAAGGTCCCCATGTTCCAGGTGGGACAGTACCCCACGGTACTGTAGGTGCAGCCCCGGGTGTCTGGGTAGGAGTGGCATATGGCCCAGGGGGTGGATATGGCATACTAGGTGCAGGATATTGCCCTCCCATTGTTGCTCCCCATGCTCCAGAAGGCATGGATCCCCATGGCCCAACAGGAGCAGGAGGTGCAGCTGGCTCTGTTGGACCACCATATGGTCTTGGAAGCTCTGGAAAGGGCATATTTGGTGGAGGATATTGCCCTGGTGGGACAGGACCTGGCACAGATGGGGGTGGATAGGGACCACCAGGAGGAGGGCAAGAGGGTCCAGTAGGAGGAGGTGGAAATGGAGCAGGCGGTCCAGGTGGCATTGAAGGATACATTCCTGTTGGGGGAGGTCCAAATGGCACACTGGAGGCTGTTGTATTTGGTGGCAATCCAGATGGCCCCGTAGGTGGAGCACTTGGGGTGTTCCAAGGATTGGAAGCTGGCCAGCCTTGTGTTGGCTGACCAGTTTGTTGACCAGATTTTGTATTGCTCACTTTGGAGGTTTTAGCAGGGGAATGATCCGGTAAAGCATCTGCCAACTAGAAAATAGAGCACCAGTGAGACTGCAAACTGCCTACTATTGTAATCACTAGCTGTGCATGGCAATCCATTACATTTACAAATGATGGACAATATTGTTAGGTAAAGCTATATTAGCGCCTACATGGTTGTGCTTAATTTCATATAGCTTCTCTCTTCAGAACAGCTTCACTTTAGAATAGAAGTTAAGAGGTATTCTGACATACTATAGCTATAAAACTGAAGACAAAAGGAGAGATACCATATGTGACAATAAGCAAACTTTTCAGTGCAAACCCAGAGAGAAGGGTCATTAAGCATCTTCTACATAACTACCTTGAAGGCATCATGTTGGAATTACATTGCAATACTAATCTCAGACCTGAAAGTCCCAAGGAGACCATCTGACAGTTTAGTACATTTAGCCCTCTGAATTGATCTACTCGCTCCACAGCTAATATCACAACTGCAGCACCAGAAGAATCACCTCCCCATTTTTTCTTAAATAACTGTCTGGAATTCAGAATGAAGTTGCTTGGCCAAGCGATTAAGAAAAAAAAATGTGATTACTTACCGAAAAGTCATCAGCTCCAGACATTTTACTGAAAAAAATAAAATAAAAATGAAGTTAGTTGAAAGCAATTCTCAAAGTGTTTCAGGCAGGAGCTTGTAAGGAAGCTAATTCCTGCCTATTTGTCTAGGTTCAGTACACAGCAGTTCTACTCTACTAGATGTCAGTGTTTCCCCAACCATGGCTTTGTTTTCAGGATTCAGAGCTGAACAGATATCGATCTGTTGCCAGAGCGGACTAAGGTAGTTCTCTCATGGGAGAAGAGATAGTTTTAGTAGGGCCTCTGTCTACATTGCAGTTCCAGCACATAAGGGAACCAGTCATAACACGGTAGATGGGACCTACCTATCCTGTAATTGGACCATATAACCAGAACTTAAAAATTGCATGTGCTTAAGGCAAGTTGGAAGCTGCCCAGGCAACTGCCCTCAGTTTCTGCAGAATCTAAACGCTCATTTTAAGTAGCATTAAATTCGTGAAGACAACCTTCAAAATGTGAACTGACTAAACAGATGCTGTCTTAGTGAATCTAAAGACAAACCATTACATTGTCTACTGCTGCTCAGAACCTTCCCAAACTGCAGCAGGGTGAAAACTGACATCTTGTCAGTTTTTACTGCTCCTATTTGGAACAGCATGGGCAGCAGTGAGCTGAATCAAACCAGTCTGCTGCTTGGGCAAATTGAGGGTTGGCAAAGGTTGGCCCTTGAGCTACTCATTGAGGATGCCCACAAACAGAGGAGGTGCAGAGTAGTGGAGATAAGATTTCTGGTTGCTAGAAAGTGAGGGATAGAATGGGTGGCAGATGGCCCTTCATCACTGTGGCCGGAAGGCTAGAGGGAGGCGTAAAGAAGTGGAGGTGCAAAAGTCTGTAGTGCAGACCTGGCCTTCGTATCAATCTCTGGCTAGTAGATTTAATCTTCAGGCTAACAGATCTCCAATTAACTTCTAAGCCCTATGGTGCATAGATAGGCATGAGGTGGGCAGGAGTGAGCTGGAGAGACTGATGGACAGAGCTTAAGGCCAGAAGGCAGCATTTTTATCATCTATTCTGGCCTGAAGAGATTTGTGAGGAAAGTAGGGAAAGAGTAAAGCTTTTCTAGGGCAGGAGTTAGAATACAAAACATAATGGGAAGACAAGAAACAGACCACAAAGCCAGCTAAGGAATAGATACTCATGATTTATTATAGAAAAAAGACAATGGGCAGTGAATCCGGAAAGGGAAAGAATAACAAAAAGCAAAACCAATATAAATAGGGATGGCTGAACAGTGTTCATCAAATATATTTATCAAATGGTACATTCAACATGTTTTGCACTATTTGACCAAAAAAAACCTTTGAAAAATAATAGCTAAATATCTGTAAAATTAGTCAAATATAGTCAATGAACGTTTTTCTGTAGTGATTGACAATGTTGCCATTAAAAACAATGCACAATTGTTTTATTCCGTTAAATTACAAAGGACATAGCCTGGTGTGAGGTTTTAACAATAATTTTTACTTTGGCAAGTAGGCCTAACCCTCAAACTAGTAGACATCAAGTAAAATTTAAAATGCTCTGTGCATAAATGGGCTAATCCCATGCATGTATCTGGTGCCAGGTCAGAGGACAATCATTTTATATCTAGTATCCTCTACTGTGGTTATATTTTTAGTGTAGACTTGCCATACCAGTTTACCCCTCCCCTTTCCAGAGCCCTAAAAGTAAACCCTTAAAACATATTAGATACATTAAGGTGAATTAATTATATTTTATGTAGTTTTTCACTAAAATGTTTTAGAAATTATATTTAAATTAATATTCCATTCAAGTTGTTCAATGCAGTGAAAATACAGATCCCCCAAAGATCTGGATTGGGACCTGTGCTGTTCCACATATTCATAAATGATCTGAAAAAGAAGGTGAACAGTGAGGTGGCAAAATGTGCAGACAGCACAAACTTACTCAAGATAGTTAAGTCCAAAGCTGACTGGGAAGTGTTACAAAGGATCTCACTAAATTGCGTGACTGGGCAACAAAATGGCAGATGAAATTCAATGTTGATAAGTGCAAAGTAATGCACATTGAAAAACATAATCCCAACTATACATACCAAATAATGGGGTCTAAATTAGCTGTTACCACTCAAGAAAGATCTTTGAGTCATTGTGGACAGCTCTCTGAAAACATCTGCTCAATGTGCAGTGGCAATCAAAAATGCTAATATTAGGAACCATTAGGATAGATAATAAAACGGAAAATATCATAATGCCACTATATAAATTCATGGTACGCCCACATCTTGAATACAGTTCTGTACAGTTCTGGCTGCTGCATCTTAAAGAAATGTTAGAACTGGAGTAAAGAGAAGGGCATCACAGATGTTTGCGGTATGGAATATCTTCCATCTGAGGAGAGATTACAAAGACTGGAACTGTTCATCTTAGAAGAGATGAAGAAGGAGGGATGTGACAGAGGTCTAGACAATCATGAATAGTCTGAGAAAGTGAATAGGGAAGTATTACCCATTTATATAACACAAGGGGTCACCCAATGAAATAGACAGCAGGGTTAAAACAAACAAAAGGAAGTACTTCTTCGCGGAGCGCACAGTCAACCTCTGGAACTTGTTGCCATGGAATTTTGGAAAGGCCAAGAGTATAACTGGGTTCAAAAAAGAATTAAATAAGTTTGTGGAGCATAGGTCCATCAATGGTTACTAGCAAGATGGTCAGGGATGCAACCACATGTCCATAAGCCTCCAGCTGTCAGAGGCTGGGGCTGGATGACAGTGGATGGATCAATCTAAATTTCCCTGTTCTGTTCATTCCTTCTGAAGCATTTGGCACTGGCCACTGTCAGAGACAGGATACTGGGATAGGTGGACCATTCGTCGGACCCAGTATGGTCATTATGCTTCAATTAAAGTCTCAATAGGCAAAATGCCAGATCAATTTGTAAAGGCTTCATTTGACTTTTTTCCCCTTGATACTCTTCATATATGCCTACAACTAGTTAGATGCAGTGGAGCTGTAGCCATGTTGGTTCCAGGATATTAGAAAGACAAGGTGGGTGAAGTAATATTTTTTTATTGGACCAACTTCTGTTGGTGAGAGACCACTCTACCTTGAATGGTCCCTTAGAATACACGTTAACTATTTATGCTAAACAACCTTTTCCACCTTGTGTTTAGCTGTGATACTCTGAGTATCTTTCATATGCCTGAAGAAGAGCTGTGGGGCTCAAGAGCTGGTCTCTCACCAACAGAAGTTGGTTCAATAAAAGATATTACCTCACCCACCTAGTCTCCACAGCTAGTTGGACTCAGAAGTGGAAAGTATTTTTATTCAGCAACATCCAATAATTCCATTTTAAAGTCACTGCTAGTCATGGGCTCATAATTACATGGATTCGTGGCAAAGGAGATGCTGACTTCATTTTATGAAAAAGGGGGTGGTTAACAGTATATGGAATCTCATTTTCCTGTTTAAACCAGCTATTTTGCTATACGTTTCCTAGAAAACCATTACACAAGTGCTATCACTTACAGAGAACAAAAATGAAGCCAATTAATTTAACGGACATGGTTTTTGCGCAAGAATTTGAAAGATGAAGTACTCCATTTCCAATGCTTCTTTTTGGGTATAAGGGGGAAAGGCGTTATCTAGTTTAAGAGTTTGGCAGGGAGTGGGGATGATTACAGAACTGAAAGAAAGAAATCAAACTCAAGTCACCCTTCCCTCCATTTGTGGCAAGACAAAGGAAATTCTGTCTTAGAAAGACCCCTGCCTCTGGAAACACCCTCCATGCCAGCTCCATGCCCTGCTCCAACAGATCCAGCAGCTTTGAGACACCAAGCCTCAGCAGCCTCCACCTACATATACAGCCACAACAGGGTGAATCAGGGGAAGGGAGATGGAGCTGCCAGAATGGTCTGTGAAAAGATTCTGATTCTAGATGCCAACCACCTCCCTCTTCCCCCAGCATCTAGGGTAAGAAGAGGGACTGCTAGATACCCCACTATTCCGATCCAGAGATGAAATGGGGCATAACATTCCAGCAGCCTCCAATTCCATCCAGCAGCCTCCAATTCCACAGCAGAACCAACAACTGGACTATATCCTCCTGAAGTCACAAGTAACATTTACACTGACTTTTAAAATCATATCCAACCCTCCTGCTACTCACTTGCTCTCTCTCTCTCTCTCTCCCCCCTTCCTAACACTACTCAGTTAACCCTAACATTAAGTGCTGGTGATCTATTAGCCATTCTTTTTCTATACTTCATGCTTTATGAGAAGCCCTGCCACTTTTTCCAGTCCCCCTCCACACCAAATATATCATTCAATCTGACCCGCACAATCATTCTTCACTATAGGACTATAAATACATGTGGAGGAGATGCGCGAATAATTAGGTCATTAACTAGCTACTGAGATTTGATAATCTCTGTCCTTGTGCCACCACAACTGGGCTTGAACAGGAAAAAGGGCTTTGTAGGATTTTTAAATGTTATCTGGAACTAACTAACAGCTATTTCCAGGACAGGCATAAGGAATGGCAGGGCAATTGCCATAAACACACATGGCCCTTGGTATCAATTATTTACAACTCAAGAGCCAAGTTTACTTCACCTTAAAAATCAAAATAAGAGTGTTTCCCATAGAAGACTGAACTATTTGGGCATGTAAGTTTCTTAAAACTTCTCTTTTCATATTCCTACCCCACTCTTTTCCTTCCTGCTGGGATTTCTGTTTGTTGCCTCACCACATTTTTATTCTTTCACTTTCTCTTAGCATTACATAGCTTCTATTCTCAGATTCAGAGGGTTTAAGGACAGAAGGGACCATTAGATAAAGTCTGAACTGTACATCACAAGCCATTCATTTTCACTGTTACCCCTGTACTGACCCTAGTAACTTGGGTATGGCTTAAGCATATTCTCCAGAAGTACATCCATTCTTGATTTAAAAACATCAAGAGATGGAGAATCCATCACCTCCTCTTGGTATTTCTGGCTTCAGCTTCCAGCCATTGGCTCTTGTTATGCCTTTCTCCACTAGATTAAAGAGCGCTGTAGTACCTGATATTTTCTCCCCTTGAAGGTATTTACACTCTAGTCAAGTCACCTTTTAATCTTCTTTTCAATC